CAGAAGATGTTTCCATGTTGCTTCTTTCAAAATTCCTTCTTTCTTCATACAAGAACTCTTCAATCTCCTGGTCCATACTCATTGGTTCAACTAGGGTGCCCTTAGAAGCAGTTAGTCAAGATTCTCTCTGTTGTGCCTTTTATGTTCTCTAATCTTTCAAGTCTTTCTAAAATTTGCCTTAGGATGTTATTTGTATATGAGGTTTCTTCTTGTACTTGAGACTTGGTTTCAGTTATTTTTCTTCTATGAGGTCTGTCTTTTTCTTGAAATGAAATTACATGTCTTGTCTTATTTTCTGTAACTTGATCTTGCATATAGCTTCTGTTTGTTGTTGTCCAATCTTTTACTCTTCAATTTTGTCTTCTTCTCTTTCTGTTCATACTTGGCCTATGTTCTTGTTCTTCTTCTCTGTTGATGTTTTCTTCTGTGTCAAAGACTTGACAAAACCTTTTCTAACTTCTTCCTCTTTCTTGTTTATGGCTTTCTCTTCATCTTGTTCCTTCTATTTCTTCTTTTATCCAATAAAGTCTAAAGTTGTTGAACATGAATGGTTTTGATTGGGCTGTTTTTATATCTTCTTCTATTGCAAACATAACTGTTGCAGTTCTTCTTTGATTTCTGTTTTTATTTGAAGGTATGTGAACCATTTAACCCTTTTGTTTTTTAAACTCCATAATAGTAGAACTTCTGAGGTGCTTCCTGGTAATTCTGTCAACTTTGCTAAATATCTTCTTTGTTTTTCTCTTGCTTTATAGTTCTTCATTCCTTTGGTTACTCATACTAATTTGTTATTGTTTACTAGTATAGCCCATGGTATGTCTTTATATGTTTCTTCTATTTGTACTATTGCTAGGGTCTTATACCTTGACCTTTTAATTCTTATTATGTGAGCTTTTCTAAATCTTCTGCAAATGTATTCTACTTTCTTCTTGTTTATATTTATTAGAAGGTCCCATATTGTTATGTAGTTTGCATCTTCTAATTCTCTATTTATTCTGCATTGATTTTCTTTTGTCTCAGTTTTGTTCACTTTCTACTCAGGTTTTCCTTCTTTGGTTCTTGCTTTATTGTTTCTCTTCTTCTGGTGTTCTTTATTATATTATGTTTGTTTTCTTTTACTGTCTTTTTTTTCTCTTCTGGTAGCATTTTTTACCAGTCACTCTTCTTTTTGCTAATTCTTTGTATTGCTTTACTTCTGCTATATTTATAGTTGAAGTCTACCTTTATCCATAAGTTTCCCCTTTTGAAAACTTTTCTGATGTCTTTAATATGTATATTGTTTCTTAAAAACCTTCTAATAAATTTCATACAATCTTCTTTTGTTTCATCAGATACATTATGCACTGGTATATTGGCAAGTAGCTGTTATTTTAGTTATAGTTTTTTTTGTTCAGAGCCCATATACTCTCTTCTAAGAGTTCTCCAAATATGTCGATTTCTCTTTCGATTTCCTTTCTGATGTCTTCTTGTTCTTATTTTTCTTTTTGTTTTTCTGTATTTCTTTCTTGCACAGGTGAATTCCCTTCTACTTGGTCTTTGTTTATTAAACTTACCTTTATACTTACTTCTTTTTGTAAGCTTTTAATATTATCTTGTGCTTTTTTTTCAGCTACTTCTTTGTTTTCTGTCATCTTTTTTTGCATTATTTTGTGTGATTCTTCTTGACTTCTGTTTGCTTTGTTTAACTGTTGCTGTATTTCTTTTCCTTTGTTCTGTGTCTGCACTATTGCTAGTTCTTCTATTGTAGTATTTTTGCTTTGCCTATTGATGTTAATCTTCTTTTTTAGTTGCTCTTCTTTTGCTTTCTTGATTATTTCTCTAGTTATATATAACAAAGCAACTTCTATTGGGTCTTTTTCTGTTAGTATAACAACAATTTCATCTTCTCTATCTGGTGTTGTATATATTTTGCTTGCTTGATTAAAGAACACCTTGTTGTGTATACTGTTTGCTACTTAATATGCTCTCTTAATGTAGATTGACATTAGACTTTCCTTTCAGTTTGGTGTGCTACTCATTTTGGTCTAAATACTAATGATTTCTGTTTGCTACTTGTTGTTCTGAAATCTTCTATGCTTATGTTTGTTACTATCCAAATTAGGCTTATTTGCATATTAACTAATCTACATGTTTGTTTTGTTTTTTTGTTCACATGTTGCAGTAATCTATGGATCTATGCTTCCAGGTCACAGCAAATTTTCCAAATTCTGTTTTTTCTAGTATCAACCAAGATGTTTTATGTTCTATCTTTTTAGCAAGTTATCCAAGTTTTCTTTTTCTTGCCTTTGTTATATCTTCTTTACTAGCTCTATCTTTTTTCTTAGATCTATGAAGTTGGTTTAGACTGTCATTTTTTGGCAAACTTTTAAATTGCTTTTCTATAACTTTTATATAAGTAATCAGTGAGAAAATTAATTCTTAATATTTAAAAAAATAAATAAAATAAAATTTTAATATATTTAATATGCTTTTTTTTATTAAATTATTAACTAACAATCATAGAATATGTTTTAACTAATAATTTTCCTAGTAATTAATTTTTGTATAACATATCTTCACATGATGTTTTCTTTAATAGCTTTAATTCTTTAATAGCAAACTATATTTCAATCTTAAACAAGTTTTATTTTTTGAGTTTTATGCTTTTGATTTATATTAAAAATATTTATATTATTTTATTTTTCATAAAATAAAATTAGGTTTGTAAGTTGCAATTTTTTAATACAAATGCCAAGATTCTATTTTAAATATTGTAAAATAAGACTGATTTTATTTTGTTAACAGTAATAAATGAAGAGCATTACAACTTTCATTATAAACACAAGAGTGTTTTAGTTGTAACTTTTAGGCATTTGGCAAGAGGCATTTTTTGTTATAAAGTAAATTAGAAGTTAATTTAGATTATTTTTACATTTTATACAATTTTAACTAAATCAGAATGTTTATATATAATAGGTAATGAAGTGTGATAACCTAGTAAAGTGGTCAGGTTGTTAACCTCTAAGTGGCAGGTCTAGAGTACAAATTCCATAGATGATGAATTTTGGAAAATAGGTTTGTGTTACAATAACTGTCTTTGACAATTAGTTAGATTAGTGTATCTATAACCTTTAGTTGTACTATCTCAAATAGAAGCTTAGAGCATCTATGCTAAGTGTAATATTATATTCACATAGAGGAATTTATAACCAGTGTTGCATAAGACTTCAATGCAAACCTATGATAAGACCACTAGACATAAAAAAAAAGAAATCAAAGAGTTAGAAACCCACTTGGAAATCTTGAGTAAAAAGATAGCACAAAACTTTTGATAGTGCTGTCAGACTGATAGAAGCCCATGAAACACCCCTAAAGAGATAGTAGATAAACTAAATAGCAAGATGTGTAGAGGAGCATATAACTAATCAGACTGTCAGAATCACCAAAGAAAAAGAATACTAAGGTATACCATATTATGCTATTTGGATTGAAAGTCCAAAGAGTTCTGTTGGTCCTGAGTAGCAGTTAGTAGTAGACAATAGAAAGGATGTCAAAAAGATAGATACCAGGATTTTGGATAAACCTTACAAAGATAAAAGCAGTTTAATGATTAGTCCTAACTGCAAGTGATAGTTTAGACCAAAGTAATACTAGGTGAGCTGTAAATATGGAATACAGAATGCACTAATAGGTTTAGTACAAAGTTAAATATAATTTAGTAACCATGGCATATCTTTACCAGTTTACTAGAGTTATTGGTAGGATGTGGTGAATATGGGATCAGAGTATTTAAATAGAATCCTACAAGTGGGTCCTAGGTATAGCAACTAATGTAGAATCTTCAAGCAAACAACTAAATTAGACAATGACTAAAGTTATATGAATGGCTAGTTGTACACTCTTTTTATGATTACCTCTGTGCTGTTACATCAACAAATACTGGCTAACAAATACTATCAATAAAATTCTAGGTCACATATACTCACCTTAACATTAAAAATATATATATATATATATAACAGATAACAAAACATGTTTTAAAAATTTAAATATTTTTAAAATTTATTAATTTTTTTTAAAAATTTTAAATTCTAGATAAATATAATAAAATTTCTGTAAGTATATGCACTTGAAATCAAAACTTTAACAGCATATACTTAGAGAACTACAAAAAAAGTTGTAGTTATAGATATATATATATATATTTGAGTTTAATTTGAATGTGCATTTAAAAAGTATATATACTTATAGTGAGTATGCTTATAAAGATTTTATTGTAATAAAACTTGTATAAAAGTTCAAAACATATTAATATCAGTTGCAATAGTCAAATTCTTAGTAAGGACAATAATTTTTTGCATTTCACAAAATGCTACAAAAACACAGAATATATTAAGAATAGCATGAAGTTGTTACAGAAAGTAGGAATATGGCATAGAAATATTATATGTCTGATATTAAATAAGGTACAAGTTACTTAGTTTATTACCAGTTATATAAAAAAAAAATTTTAAATATTAACTAGGTGTTTAAGTTATAAAAGATAGAAGTTTGTAGCAAAACTCATAATCTTTTATAGTTAGGTATAACTTTCTAAAAGGTTCTAGTATAAAAAATAAAAGAACCCAAAATATGAGTATGGATAAGCTAAAATTTTGTTGGTGTTCATAAGGAATTACTTGTAGATTTAAATAAATTATTAGAATTTGAATTAAATCAAGCTTATGCATTAAGGTAATAATCTGAAGAATAGACTGCAAAATTGATTGCAGTATAATGTAAAATCTATAATTTATAATATATAACTAATGCAGAATTTTTAGGTTTTAGTTATGCAATTTGGATTTTGTAACAGATGGAATCAATAATTTATTATCACAGAAAATTATAATTCTTAATTCTTGGTTTAACAAAGGCAAGTTATATGTAATTGAATAAATTTATTTTTATATGCTAATAATTATTTTATTTTTGATCATTTTTTTGTAATTTCTTCAATATTGTATAACCTTTTCTTTTGTTCAATCTGGAGAGACAATAAGAAGTTCTAATAGCACTTTCTGAATTTTATTTTTAAACACTGTATTTCCAAGTTCAAACAATTGTGCAAGTATTGTTTTTTTTAGTTCTGTAGTAGTACAACATAGATGTTTACAAAGATTTGTTGTAAAGGATAACAGTGATAATGTTTGTTGTGATATTAAAATATTCTGTTGAACAATTAATTTTTGAATAAGATCATCTATTTGATGATATTTTTGTTTTCTTATATTTTTAAAATATGTAAAGGTATAATGATTTATATTTCATATATGATGTTTAGAAGTTCAGAGTTTAGTTTTATATATATCTTTCACAAGCATCTCTTAAAAATATAAATTTTTAGTTTCATAAAAAGAAAGAATATTCTTAACACCTTCATTAATTTTCAGTGCTTTTTCAAATAGTTGATATTTTGTAGAATCTGAACAGTTAAAGACAGATAACAGATTTGCAATTAGAGTCTAGAATAAATCTTTGCATAACTTAATTGCACAAGAATTTTGGCTTAATACAATATTATCAATATATTCTGCAAGTAGCATTGATAAATAATTTCTTTTACTTTAAACTGTCTTAATTTTTTGTATTATAGTCTCTTGGTTGATAAAATTACTGATTATATTTTGTTTAATAAATTTTACACTATATGTTTCAAGTACTTCATTAAAAGCAAAATAATGTTCTTCTCTTGTAAGGTTTACTGAATATGCTATTTTTAATAATTTTTGTAGCTATAAATCATTATAAACCTGAGCCAAAAAGTGTACTACAAAACTTGCATATTTGAATTTTTTAGCTGCAGGAAAAAAAATGTGAATGCAGCCAAATTTACTATTTGCATTCTGTAATTTTCTCTTTTAATTCCAATTTTATAACCCATAAAGTATTCTGTATAGCAATGACCAGGTATTATGACCTTGTATCTGCTTCTCCAAGCTAAAAGAAATACCATATTTTTATCAAAAAATTGTTATTATCTAGAATATTGTTCATTGTTTTTTTTTCTCTTTTAACATGCAAACACAATACAATCTCAACTACAACTCAATTACTTTTAAAACACAACATGTTGCATGATAATTTACCACATGTTCAAATTTTTCTAGATATTGAACTCCAAAAATTGCTATAAAGTTAAATATTCTATAACTAAAAAATATTATAATTAAAGTGCAACATATGTTTTTAGATGTGTGCCACTGTCCTAAAAGAAGTTGGACATCATTATAAATTTTTTTATGAGAAATTAGCCTTCAAAAAATTGCTTGATCACACATAATATATAAACATTTATCACAACTATAATATAAATTATGACAATACATTTTATACACTGCATGAACATTATTATTGCAGTTAAGTGAATTACCAAATTTTAATATTACAATTCTTGGTGATGGAATATTGTATTCTAGCAATATTTGTTTTATAATTTCAGAATATACTTCTTCTACTTCAAATTTATTTATATGTTTTTTTAATATTCTATTTAAAGTAGTTTTATACATCATCAAATAATCATCAGTAGTTGAGAATTCTCCAAATAATAATTGATTTATAAGCTTATAGTTTTCAACTAAATAATCAAATGATGTAGAAAGAATGAACTAAAATATCATTCACTGTATCACATATGAAGTTTATTATTTAATATCAAAAATATTACTATATAAGAATATAGAAGCTCTAAAATCAATATTGTAATAAAATTTACTTTTATATATATATATTATTATATATTTATTTTTAGCTTTATATTATATTTTCTATTTTTCTTAATATTTTTATATAGTTTATAGATTATTTTATTAGTTTTAATCATCTATTTAATAGATTAGTATTTATTTTATTAATAGATTTCTTATAGTATTTTATTTTAGTCAATAGTTGTTTGAATATCTAAAATATATAATATTATATACTATTAATTAAAATATCTATTTGTCATAATACTCTTATAAAAAAGACCCAGATACCAATCATGGGGTCATGTTTTAGAAGATTAAATAAAGTTTAGATATTATTTTATTATATATTATATATTACTGTAAGGTAATATTTTTTAATATTATATCTTAATGAAAAATCTCCTTTTGCAAATTCATTGCACAAAAATTACTAAAAAATTCATCTATCAAAAAACACTTATAACTATTTATTTTACTAAGACAAGTTGTTCTTAGCTCTTAAGTAAAGTTGTTTAGCTCATTATTTTACATATAGCTTAAAAATATTAAGCTTATATATTTCAAACTTATCAAGAAAATTGCACTGACAGCCTTTGGTTTTCAGTTTATACCTTTTATCTATTTTACTTTTTTTTTTTTTTTTGGAGTTAAGGTGAGGTTTTGCTCATATCTTTATTAATTTGTTAAAGATGCCTCCAGGGGCTTCTTTGGATATAAATTACAAAATCTATTCCAATTACAAATTTGTTACAAGAGTAAAGCTCAGACTATAGA